TGTGGTAATATGTTTTACTGTAGTTCGGCCTCGCCCGCGAAGAATGTCGAGTCACTCTATGGCGAACAGTCACACTTCGATTTCTTCACAAATGTTTTGCATCAACCCGAAACTCTTGACCGGAGAAAAAAAATGTACGGAACCTTTTTCCGCAATTGGCTGTGTACAGTACTTGGGCGCTGCAAGGAAATGGCGAGTTTGATTTTGGAGGGAAACCAGGGGTTGGGAATGATGCCGGATGGGGTGTCGAAATCAACCTGCAAGTAACACGCTGTAAGTGTGTAATGCAACACGCCAATCCCAGGCATCGCGAAAAATTCCCCAGCGATGCCTATCAAACATCAAGCCACTGGATGGCATGCTGTTTGACACACAGGTATAGGTTCCGATGCTGATGCTGGTGGTGGTGCTGCTGCTGGTGCTGCCAGGGCTTCTACTCCTGCAGTTGCTTCTTCTGTGTATTCGTCTCCTGCTCCTCTCTCTCATCGACCAGTCTCATCCTCGTTAAGAACATCTTCATCATAGGGATCCACGCCTCTGACAAAACCGTCACTATCACCAGGCCACGCCCCGACTCCCCTTCCTCTGCTACCGCTCTTGACTCCTCTGTCTTGTCCCTTGCCATCCTTTCAGTACTTCCAGCGTTGCTGCTGCCAGCAGTGCTGCTTGTGCTGCTTCTGCCAGCAGTGCTGCTGTTTGTATAAGCAGCAGCTTCTGCTGCGCGTGGAACCTGTAGTGTCACGTCAGATGCTAGTTGCTTGCGTGTCATTGGAGGCGGCGTTCCTGCTGACGTGGCCAGGTCGGTAAGAACCTCCTCTAGGCTCCTGCCACGTTTCCAGTCAAACCAGTCAAGCGACTTCTGAGGCGCCTCAAAAGCCACGTTTTCAGCCAATCCAGTCAAGCGATTCAACCACAGGAGGCAAGAGAGGCGGTAAGAGAGGGATGAGGACAGGGGTGGGGGGTGTGAGTGTGAGGGAAGGAGTTATGTCTCATACAATTACCTTGTCCTAGAACACGAGTAATGATTCAAATAATCTGATCCGTCTCCCGCTGCCACCACCCCTTTGTGCCCTCCTCCCTCATTGCCACCCCTCCCTCCACCACCACCACCAACACTGCCATCACCGTCCCCCAACCTGTTCCCCCAACCACCTTCCCCATGGTCCCCCTCTCCCCCACCCCCTTTTGAGTCGACTCAAAAGCGTTCCCCCAACCACCTTCCCCATGGTCCCCCTTCTCCCCCACCCCCTGCGCCCCAGACCCCTCGGCAGCAAGCTGTGCGGCAGCAGTGGGCGGGGGGAGCGGAGAAGGGGGCGCAAGGAGGGGGATGGCGAGGAGGGGGAAGGATGATGAGCAACGAGAGGAGGAAGAGGAGAGAGTTGCTGAAAAAGTTGGGGTTATTCTTAGTCTGAACAGGGCGTGGTGAGAGGGATGGGAGGGATTAGATTCGTTTAGAATGACAGGCAGGTGCCCGTTGTTGGAGGGAGCGAGAAAGCAAGTTCTGAGGCGGTCCCCAAGGGCAGGAAGAAAAGGGAGGGAGGAGGGGAGCGAGGAGGAGGAGGAGGAAGAGGAGGCGGATGGCGAGGCGGGAGGCAAGGTGGGAGTTGGTGCGGGTGGAGAGGCGGGAGAGGCTGCAGGGGCTGGGCAAGGAACCAAGAGGGAACGAGCAGCAGTGTCCATCTGCTGACGAGCAGCTTTCATCCTGCTAGAGTCTTCGGAACTGCAATCGTTGGTATCTACTGCTGCGCTGCTGCTGCTGCTGCTGTTGTTGCCATGCGAGCTACTATGAGGTTCGGAGCTAGGCACTACCAACGAATCTGGGTTTGGGACGGAGGTGGCAGCAACTGAAACGCCACGTTTGGGGTTGTGATTGGACTCCTCGATCAACGGTGGGAAACGGCATCGCCGCGAGAACCGATACTTCGAATCCGAGTTTTGTATCCGACTTTGAAGGCTCTCAGACTGAAAGAAGGCGGATTTCTTGAAAGAAAGGCGCAGCCACCCAAGAACTGATCGCGATGTGGGAGGTCGACGAGGTTCAGAAAACAACAAGGCCGTTTTGCAACTAATGTTGCATCTACGCCACGTAGCAACTGACGCGCGGCGGGAGGAAAAGGCACCAGAGGGCACGTTTCACTCCGCGGGAAGTCGCTATTAATGGCGAATAGGGTTACCAGCAGGCGAAGAACTAATTCTTCGGTGTGGTGTAATACGCGAATGGTAAAATTCGACCATGACTGCTGCTGGACTGCATGTTGTAGGTATCGTAAATATTCGGTTTCTCCCAGCTTTCGCAAGAAATCAGAGTTCCTTCCAGCGTTGGCTGGATTACCTCGGCTCGGGTTGAATCCCGAGGCTTACACAGGCATACGCGTTGTTGCGGTCCCTGGATTGGGTATAACTGGATTTTTGTCAGAATTGAGTACTCGTTATGGAAAACACTATATGTCGAGTAGTGATATTTTTTAAGAGTCCTACTGCAAATCCAGAGTCAAAATCTTCAGGTCAGGGAGAGGTGGCTTTCCTCAGAAGTAATAGGGTCTGCCCGTACTGCAACAACGATGAAACCCTGGACCACTGTCTCTTCTCCTACCCGGGCAATCAGGTGATCACCTAGGCCGTCCTGCATGCATTACGCATGATAAACCTGTTAGAGGTCTACTGGAGATCCCCGGTTGATCCTAGGGAAGGGTTACAGGCACGTTGGTCAGGGGGCTTAAGGCCGCACTCACCCGCTACAAAAACAAGTCATTTTATCACATGAATTAGTGGCTGGGATTCTGACAAAACCCATCGCCGAGGTGTGGGAGGGGTGAGTCAATTGTGAGACTATGCTGTTTTTTCCATGCCTTTGTTTCTCCCAAGCACCCTCATTACCCTCCATCCCTTGCTATCATTCACCCACCATCGACACCAACTTTCTATGCCCCTGTCTACCCATTCTATCGCCGTCAACCCCTCTACCCCTCTCTGCCCCTCGCTGCTATCCGCCCTTCCCCACTACAGGACGAACTCACTGCCACCCAGAACCGCATCCACCAGCTGTTAGTACAGGCACTGCGCTCCGATGCCAGCTGCACCACGACCGTGCCGATGCTCTCTCAGACCTAGAGATTGTGAGTAGTGGTAGTGTCCTGTGCTTGTGGTTGCTGCGGTGGTAAAGGTGGTGGTGATAGGAAGGTGGGTGGATAGGCACTTTCTCCATATGCCTGCCGTGTAGAGGCTCTCTCAGGCCAAACGCCTGTGAGTATGCCGCGCTGCTGATGGCAGTGGTGGTAGGAAACTCTGAGTGAAACAAACTGCGCTCCGATGCCCGCTGCACCACGGCCGTGCAGAGGCTGTCCCAGGCCAAGCGACTGTGAGTAGTGCCACTTTGGTGATGGCGCAAGTGGTGGTACTGGTAGTACCGTAGGAAGGTGGTCAACGGGCGCTGCGCTGCTCTCCGTTGCCAGCTGCACCACCTCCGTGCAAAGGCTCTCGCAGACCACTGCACAGTGACTGCGCTTGCCTGAGCAACGGTCCAGTGCCAGCTGTTCAGAGATTTGCTTACTCAAAGCAAGCACCGAGTGAGCACTTGGATGAGTGGTGCAGCTGACCTGCTGGCTCCTCTCCTCCCCCTGTTTTTCCCTGAGAATTTCCAAAAGTGCTCTCAACCTTCAACTCGATATTCTCTCTTGCATTGCGCCGAGCCAACCCTGCCTTTACTTCTTCTTTCCTCCATTCTGTAATATGAGTATCTGGAAGGTTTTGGTTCTATATCTGGGAAAAGAAAGGTGGACTCATTATGATGCATGTCCTCAGTTGTGTGTTTATTGAGTACTGTATTCTCCCGGACATAACACCCTAGGGTATAGCTAAAAATACAGGGAAAAAATGGGGGGTGTCTCATAGGAAAAAAAAAAAAAAACACAATACACGGGTCTTTACATATGGTATATTTTAGTGTTAGTGTTTATTTAATTAGACAATGTGGGTGTTTTGATTTTCATTTTAACATCACTGCCTGAGGTGCGAATGTGAGTTTCGGCCACGAACTTCATCACCCCCACGAAAATGTCATGTGGCACCTCTCTTGCCACTTGCAGCGGAAGATTCGCCTGCGCATGGCGACAGCGAAGTAGTGGGAGGGGGGAAATCTCGGTAGATTGTAAGTGAATGTACCACGAAATTTCATCTAGGGAGATTTTTTCGCGATATTCTTCCGCATTGCAGCTACTCGTTAACGACTACAATAACGAATTCGTAAGAAAAGGGGGGTGTTATAGAAAATCGGCTAAAAAGGGGGGTATAGTAGAAACGAGGTCTATCATAACACCCACCCCGCACAAGCTACCCGGGGGTGTACAATTACAGGGGGGTGTTTTGTCCGGGAGAATACGGTACCATCAAGCAGAAGCTTCTCCAGTACAAGCAGGAAGCTTCCCTGCAAAGTAATGTGTGAAGTGACTGTGCATTGACTGACTACGCACAGTACATACCTACTCTTATGCTACACATCGCCAACAATAACATGTACAAGTGTAGTCTGCACTCCTGCCAAACTAAAGGTAAATTTTCTCAGTCGTGCCGTTTTTTCAAACGATACAGTTTCTCCCGCTCCATGACAAGCCATGCCGCCCCACTCCCACCCTGTCCACCAATGGGAGCTGCCGAAACCAATCCACGTCACCCAAGACCTGCCATGGCATGCACCAACCACAGCAAGTTTTTGTTCAATTGGCAGCCGGCCATACCCTATGTAATATAACAGATAAGTTATGAGACAGTCTCGAAAGTTTGGAAGCGGGCCGGGTAATATAGCAGACGTGTTTCTTACAAGTCTCCTTATTCCCAATCCAGAAAGTTCACATGAGATGGGGGGAGGCGAGAAGGAAAGGGAGTGGGGAGAACCGATTGGATTGCAGTAATGAAGTTGGAAATCTACAGGGAGGAAAAGGTACTGACCTGCTGCAATCTTTTTATTTTGTGTGATCACCTTTTCACTTTGTTATATTGCAATGTCAACCCACCTGCTGCAGCACTTGCATCTTCTTCTCCAGTCCCAAACAACAATTGGCGTGAACAGTGACAAGCCGCCCCAGCTGCCGCCCGATCTCGCAGAAACCGCTAAAGCTCTCTGTCGGCAGGTAGTGGACGGAGAGGCGGAGGGTGACGCGAGTGTATGGGTCTGCTTCAGGGCGCACTCGCATGAACGCATCCTGGTCGTGAATGCCGGGTAAGCTGGTGGTGGGGTTGAAGGGGGAAGGGGAAAACGGGGTAGGGGGAAAGGGTATAATGAATGGAGAGATGGAGGGTGTGGCGGGTGTAAGGGTCTGCTTCGGGTCGCACTCGCATGAATGCATTCTGATCATGAATACCGGGGAAGCTGATGGTTGGGGGAGAGGGGTGAGGAAAGGAGGATAGTGTATGCAGAGATGCCGCGGATGCCTTGGAAGCTGTAATGGGGGCGGAAGGGGAGTTGAGTGAAGGGAGAATACCATAAGCAGTGGATAAAGAGGTGGAGGGTGTCGCGGGTGTATGGGTCTGTTTCGGGTCGCATATTCATAAATGCATCCTGGCCGGAATACAGTGGGGACGAAAGAGGTTGGGAAGAGGGATGTAGACAGTGATAAGAGGCGCTGTGTAATGGGTTTCCCTCACCCACATACACGTGTTTTTCAGAACAAATTTTAAGTCGACTCAAGCTAGACGGACTTACCAGGTGTGAGAGAGGGGGAGGGGGAGGGGGAGGGGGCGGGGGAGGGGGAGGGGGAGGGGGAGGGGGAGGGGGAGGGGGAGAGGGAGAGGGAGACGCGTGCTGGGTGTGAGAAAGGAGCGGGGAAGGACCAATGGATCCCCACGTAGGAGGCATGGCGTAGCGTGGCAGCAGCTGTGTTTAGCAAAACGTTGTGTAGTTTGGTTTTGTGCTTGCTTGTAAAAACCTTGTGAAAAAGAAAAGAGGGAGACGCGTGCTGGGTGTGAGAAAGGAGCGGGGAAGGAGAGAATTGCCGGGTGTGTCCATTGAGGCGGCAGTCAGAGAGGTGCCGCTAATCAGAGAGGTGCCGCTAATCAGAGAGGTGCCGCTAATCAGAGAGGTGCCGCTAATCAGAGAGGCACAAACCCCCAATCGGCTGCCGCAAATGAGTTGAATCAAGAGACGCTCCACCGGGTTTGACGGATGGAAGTAGAGGAGGGCTTATTGGGTGTGGGCGTTGAGAGTCAGTGGTCAGGGAAGTGCGGCACACGGGTTGACTTTTGAGTCGACTCAAAAGTCAGTGGTCAGGGAAGTGCGGCACACGGGTTGACTTTTGAGTCGACTCAAAAGTCAGTGGTCAGGGAAGTGCGGCACACGGGTTGACTTTTGAGTCGACTCAAAAGTCAGTGGTCAGGGAAGTGCAGCACACGGCCGTTCGTTGCTCCAAGACGAGTTTTGAATCGAGTCAAACGGCAGAGAAACATGAAACATGGAAGTGAAACATACCGAGTGTGAGATTCCAACCAGTAGTCAAAGAATCGCAAAACGCGGTCGTTGCTGTGAGCCATGTAGAAGCCCCCATTGGCTGCTGCCGCCTTGGGGTCTGCTGACCAGCGATCGCACGCTATGAGCAAGTCGGATGGGACGTTGAGCAGGTGGGGAAGGGGGTTCTGGTGGAGGGGAGGATAGGGGGGAAGGATGGTAGAGATAATTGGTTTGAATATAAAGACACCTCTGCTGCTGCCTTGGGGCTTGCTGACCAGCGATCGCACGCTATGAGCAAGTCAGAAGAGACGTTGAGCAGGTGGGGAAGTGGATTCTGGTGGAGGGAGCGGAGAGGAGGAGGGAATGAGGGAAAATGGAGGAGCGATACAAAGTGAGGGTCAGCAGAGGAGGGTCGGTCAGGCATAGTACGATCTGCCATGTAGCACTGTGTGCGTGCGTGCGTTCATGCGTGCGTGCGTGCGTGTGCGTGTCTGTGTGTGGTGTGTGTGTTTTGTGCTTGTAAATGAATCTGGTTGCACCTGGTTACCTAAAGCTGCTATATAGGAGCCACCTGACGTCACTGTCACCCCACCTGCAGCCAAATGACGTCATTGTCTGTGAAGATCACATCAAATCTCAAAGACAGGATTTGCCTGATGATATGTAGCCGCCTCCACATCTGGGCAGAGGGGAGGATGAAAACGAAGAAAGAGATTAGGAGAGGAGATAAAGAGAGATGGAGACGGATGAGAGATGAGCAGAGACCAAGAGATAATCTACAGGAACAGTGGTTGAGTGGGCTAAGATGTGATAAGAAGACTAGAGGGCAGTAACAAGGAAAAGCATCAGATACGACCATAGGCATCTCGTAGCATACTGCCCGCCCAGGAAAGGAACAATACCAGGTGCAGATAGGAGGGGGTCATGAATTTCTTCTGCCCGCCACTGAAGTCGTCCCTCTCACTCTTTGGAGCATCCTCCTGCACACAAAAACAGAGAGATGGAAAGAGAGAGATGGAAAGAGAGAGATGGAAAGAGAGAGATGGAAAGAGAGAGATGGAAAGAGAGAGATGGAAAGAGAGAGATGGAAAGAGAGAGATGGAAAGAGAGAGATGGAAAGAGAGAGATGGAAACAGAGAGATGGAACAGAGAGATGGAAACAGAGAGATGGAAACAGAGAGATGGAAACAGAGAGATGGAAACAGAGAGATGGAAACAGAGAGATGGAAACAGAGAGATGGAAACAGAGAGATGGAAACAGAGAGATGGAAACAGAGAGATGGAAACAGAGAGATGGAAACAGAGAGATGGAAACAAAGAGGGACGAGAAGCCATTCCAGGTGCGCATACGAGTGCAGGAGTGAGGTGGGGTGGATTGAAAACAGGAAGATTAGAGACACCTTGTGAAGTGAGAGGTGAAGTCATCATTTAGAGATACTGCAGTGCTCCCGTCTTCCCCCCCTTCCCCTGACGCCTAAACTGCTGCTGGTTCAATTGCCCTCAGCCAGATTCACCTGAGTGTCAAGGAAGCAGTGCAGGCGGAGCGAGCAGCAGAACTCCAGGCTACGGTGGTCGTAGCAGATCGCCAGCAGGCGAGGCACCAACGTGCCTCGCAGTGCCTCGTGCCCCATGCCCCATACCTTCGCCACACGCACCTGCACGTCAAGGGTTCAGTGCAGGCGGACACACCTGAGTGTCCAGGAAGCAGTGCAGGCGGACACACCTGAGTGTCCAGGAAGCAGTGCAGGCGGACACACCTGAGTGTCCAGGAAGCAGTGCAGGCGGACACACCTGAGTGTCCAGGAAGCAGTGCAGGCGGAGCGAGGAGCAGAACTCCAGGCTACGGTGGTCATAGCAGATCACCAGCAGGCGAGACACCAGCGTGCGTGGCATTCGGGGCATGCGCCCCGTGCCTGGAATATCTGAATCTGACGGTGCGGATTCAGCTGCTGCACCTCTCAGGTACTCCTCCTGCTGCTGTTGCTGCTGCTGTTGCTGCTCCCGAAGCTTCTGCTCCTGTTGTTGCATCTGCTGCATGTTCGTCTCCTCGTCTCTGTCATCAACCAGTCTTATCCTCGTTAAGAACATCTTCATCATGGGTATCCACGCCTCTGACAAAACCGTCACTATCACCAGGCCACGCCCCGACTCCCCTTCCTCTGCTACCACCCTTGAATCCTCCGTCTCGTCCTTTTCATCCACCCTTTCATCATTTCCAGCGTTGCTGCTGCCAGCTGTGCTGCCTGTTGTGCTGCCTGTGCTGCTGTTTTTGCTGACCCTCTTTGCGTCAGCAGCAGCTTCTGCTGCGCGCAAACCCTGTGGCGCCACGTCAGGCGCTGGTTGCTTGCTTGTCACTGGAGGCGGCATTCCCGCTGACGTGGCCAGGTCGGTAAGAGCCTCCTCTAGGCTCCAGCCACGTTTCCCGTTGAACCGGTCAAACGGTTCGACCACAGGAAAAGGAGGGAAAGCAAGATAAGCGAGACAGTGTGTGGAAAAAGGAGGGAGAAGGGGAGGGGGTGAGGAAAGCGAGGCGGTAAGAGAGGGGAGGAAGACAGGGGAGGTGGAAGGAGGAAGAAGGGGAGGATAAGGGAGATTTGTCTGAGTACCTTGGTTCAGAGCACGGGTAATGGTTCACATAATCTGATCCATCGCCTGCTGCCATCACCCCTTCGTCTCCTCTCTCACTGCCATCCCTCCCTCCACCACCACTGCCATCACTGTCCGTCACCTCGATCCCCCCACCGCCACTCGCCCCGTAATCCTCCTCTCCCCCCACCTCCTGCCCCAAAGACCCCTCCGCAGCAGGCTGTGCGGCAGCAGTGGGTGGGGGGAGCGGTGAGGGGGGCGCAAGGAGAGGGATGGCAAGGAGGGGGAGGAGGATGAGCAACGAGAGGAGGAGCAGGAGAGTGTTGCTGAAGAGAGTTGGGGTTATCCGTAGGCGGGGTAGGGCTAGCGCGTGATTGGGGGGATGGGAGGGATGGTAGGGATGAGGGTCGTCTCGAGTGACAGGCAGGTGCTCACTGTTCGAGGGAGAGAGAAAGAAAGGCCTAAGGCGATCCCTAATAGCAGGGAGGGAGAAGGGCGGTGAGGAGGAGGAGGAGGAAGAGGCAGAAGGCGAGGTGGGAGGTGAGGAAGGAGGCGAGGCGGGAGAGGATTCATGGGCTGGGGAAGGAAACATGAGGGGGCGAGCAGCAGTGTCCAGTGCTTTCATCCTGCTAGTAGAGTCTTGGGAATCGCCGTCCGTGACATTTAGTGCGCTATTGTTGCCGCCATGGGAGTCGTTCACGTGGTTGGGAGCTGTGGGAGCCGTGCTTGAGGAGGCGGCAGCCGAAACGGCATGGCTGGGGTCGTCACTTGACGACGGAAACGGCATCAGTACGAGATCAGAAATCAGATTCAAGTTCAAACCCAATTCCAAGACTCGGCTGATTTCTAGAAAGAAGGTTGCAGCTTTTGAGTCGACTCAAAAGTCAACCCCATATAGTCGCTATTGAGAATCCTCACATGCGTAGCCACCGATTCCCGACTTTTGAGTCGTCTCAAAACTCAAATGCGTAGCCACCGATTCTTACATGCGCAGAAATTACACAGACTGACGCAACGACCCCCCTCAAGTTGGGAGACGTTTCAAAGGGCTTTCGATCAATGCAAGCAAACCCGGGATAGAGCGAATGCCGTATGGACTCGAAAGCTCTTTCGACACGAAATACCGCAGGGTAGCTGTCTCATACGGACGGGACCCTTCACGAGCCTCTTGAGTTGCGACGACCAGTTTTTGCTCCGGGGGTAGGCGAAGCGGCCACGGCAGCGACGCGGTGCACATGCGGCGCGTCGACAAACCGCAACCGGCGCTCCGTATAAGTGGTCATGGAATGAGGTGGTGGTGGCGGTGCTGGCGGTGATGGTGCTAGTGAGTGATAACAACTCATGGTTGAACCAACTCAAGGCTGTTTTGGTAGTGCCATTAGCCGTCAACGAGGTAAAAAATTGCTCTGCGCGACCTTGGACAACGGGGTCGCGACGGCGGCGATGGTGATAGTACGACATCTGTGCTGTGCCTGACGGTTTTGAAACGTCCCAAATCTCGCCTGACAGATATGTCGGCGGCATCCTGTGAGCTCGACGAGGATCGGAGACTAACGAGTGCTTTACGAGATGGCCGTGCATTCCCGCCACGTGGCAACTAATGTGCGGTGCGGTGGTGTGCGTGCTACCTGCTGGAGGTTTGGCGGGAACTGGACTCTTTTGGCTTTGGCTTGAATCATGTTATTTGTCTTGGGCGCTTTGCGGCCTTGGGGTTGGTGATTCTGTCGAGGCTGCATTCTCGTTATGGGAAACGCGATATCTTTATCAGGTACGATGTGCACATGAGGAACCTTGCGAGCGTATGATCTCACTAGAAGCTATAGATTTGAATGGAAACATCTACCGTGAATGAGATAAGACACATTTGTCTGCTATCTGGGCGATGAAGGTAGTAAGGGGTTTGCATGAAATTGCGGAAAGAAGCTGTGGCACATAATTACAAAAAAAAAACTCCTTCACAAAACACATCATGGAAGCAGGTCAGAGAGCATTTAATTTAGTGACCAGGCCAGCTAATCTACCAACCTGCCCTTCATCATTGAGCATTTCCTCCCTGTCCATTCCTTTCCACGCCGCCCCACTCCCTCCCGGTCCACCAATGGTAGCTGCCGAAACCCATCCACAACACCCAAGACCTGCCATGCCAAGCCATGCCATGCCATTCCATTCCATTCCATTCCATGACATGCAATGCCATCCACACAGCAAAATTGTTGTTGTTCAAATGTTGGGTACATAGGCTACAGAAACATCTCACCATGCCATGCCATTGACACTCAAGAGAAGAAGTTTTATAGAAGTTTTATAGGTAAGGTGACTTGAACCCACAGTCGGTATGTTGACACGGGATGGGGAGAAAGGAGGAAGAGAAGGGAGTGTGGAGAAGCAATCGCAGGCATAATGTGAAGATAGTGTGAGGGAAATATCATACTCACCTGCTGCATCACTTGCATCTTCTCCTCCAGTCCGATACAGCAGTTACAATGAAAAGTGACCAGCCGCCCCAGCTGCCGCCCGATCTCGCATAAACCGCCGAAACGATTTGTCGGCAGGTAGTGGATAGAGAGATGGAGCGTGTCGCGGGTGTAGGGTCTGCCTGGGGGCGCACTTCCATGAATGAATCCTGCTCCTTAATACCAGGGAAGCTATATTTGGGGCAGTATGATGTGTGGAGAGAGATGGAGAGTGGTGCAGGTGTATGGGTCTGCCTGGGGGCGCACTTCCATGAATGCATCCTGCTCCTTAATACCAGGGAAGCTGTTTACCGAGAGGGGGGGAGGGGGGGGGAGAAGAGACTTTTGAGTCAACTCAAAACTTCCATGAATGCATCCTGGTCCTTGATACCAGGGAAGCTGCATTTGGGGCGGGGAGGGGGTTGGAGATAGGGGAGAATGGAGCAGTATGATGGGTGGAGAGAGATGGAGAGTGGTGCAGGTGTATGGGTCTGCCTCGGGTCGGGGCACACTTCCATGAATGCATCCTGGTCCCTCATACCAGGGAAGCTGATTTTTGAGAGGGGGGGAGGGGGAGGGGGGGAGAGGGGAGGGGTGGAGGAGGGAGGTGGAGAGGCTTGAAAAGGATGTCGCCTGGTAACATGGAGGCCTGTGGTATATTATAGCGCATGCATTAGTCGGCTTCATACTTGAATTGATGCTTCAGGCTTATTTGTAAAATCCCGCGGGGCTGGAAAAAGGGAGGGTGGTTGGTGGGAGGTTGGGGTGAGGGATGTGCAAAACGGTGTAGGTGCATGACGAGGTGTGCGGGGGCATGACGAGGTATGCGGCGGAATGACGAGGTGTGCGGGGGAATGACGAGATGTGCCGGGGAATGACGAGGTGTGCGGGGGAATGACGAGGTGTGCCAGGGAATGACGAGGTGTGCGGGGGAATGACGAGGTGTGCGGGAGCCATAAAGAGGGTATGGGAAGGAAAGACGAGATGGGTGGGCGGGGATAGCTGTCTGATAGGTGTCTTACTATAGTCTGTTTATCCTCCGTGTATCCTACATATAGTGAGAGTGTTTCCGCACCTCAACGAGATGGAGTATAAACAAGATCCTAAGGAAAAAAAAAAAAAAGAGGCGACGAATTCGTCTTAGGGTTGCGAAGCGTTTTGCGTAATTATATAAATTTGTACAACTTCTAATTTTGTACATTATGCCGTAGTATGACACTAAGTGGTACTTCCTCTCACCAAGCAAAGATAAAAAATACCACGTGAATGAGAAACGAGCTGGAGACTTTTCGATTCCACCGTCAACCTTGTACGACTGCGACAGCACTAATGTCCATCTCGAATAACAAAGTTAATAGGACATTTAAAATTGCGAAGAATCTGAGACTACCTTAGGGTTTGTTCTCCCTTTTTTTCTCCCGCTTCTCCTCCTCGCTTGTCACGCTCTACCAACTTCTCCACCTACTCTAACTGCAACTTAGGTAAGATGATCCCTCAATTTTAACTCCAACTAAATTAGATGCCTATTAGATAGACTAACATTTAGTCACTCCGTATCCTAACCGTGTAAATGGATGAGTATTAGCGAGGCTTAGTTGTTTAAACTTAGGTTTTCGGCCCTTTGTAAAGATTTCAGGTTCTCCTTCCTGCATAAGCTTGCATCTGTTTCTTCTATTCTTCATCCTTAAACTTTTCCTCTCGTCGGTTGCCTTTTCTGAGAAAGTACGAACGAGAAGTGGATGACTATGAAAAAGAAGTGGGTACAAATAGGAAACCCTAATTGGGTTGTACCCCCTATGGGATACCCCACTATAGCCTACAGAAATAAGTAAGCTATATGTTCTGACACACCCCCATAGGCAAAGTGGGGGAGAACAAGGGGTCACAAGACCAGTCAAGCAAAGCAAAGCAAAGCTCAGGGTGGATCACAAAGTCACCACGCATTCCGAGCACAAGTTCAAAGGCCAGAAGGCCAGTTCACATGCAAGATCATATATAGAGATATACAAGAGTCAAGCAAGCAAGAGCAAGAGTATATATAGGTGAAGGTACAAGCAAGGTCAAGAGCAGAGCAAGTGAGGCAAGACAGGCACAAGACCCAACTGCGTGCAACAACGCTGATGATCACAAGGCGCAAGTGCCTTGGTGAAGACATCAGCAGTGTTGGCCTCAGAGGCCACGTACGCAAGTCGCAACTGTCCACGCTGCTGTAGCTCACGAGCAAGAAAGTAGCGGAGAGCAATGTGCTTCGTTCTGTGCTCCAGTCGCTGCTCTCGACACAAGGCCAGCATGGCCTTGTTGTCTACGTACAGGACTGGAGGAGAACGAGGCGGCTCTCCAAGGTCGGTCAGCAGGTAGGTGAGCCAGCGTAACTCCTGTGCAGCCATAGCCCCAGCGTAGATCTCAGCCTCACAACTGGAGCCGAGAACAGAAGACGAGCGGGTAGCCCGCCACGAGACAGAGCCGGAACCAAGGCTGAAGGAGTAACCCTGTGACGACCGCTGCGTAGCCTGGTCGTCAGCCCAAGAAGCGTCTGCGTGCCCAGTGAGGACCACTGGACTGCGCCCTCCAAGCACTAGCCCCATGCCCGACGTACTGCACAAGTAGCGCAACACCCTCTTTGCTGCAGCCATGTGCTCTGGTCGGTGTCTCCCAGGAGCAACAAAGCGTGCGAGAATGCTAAGAGGGTATGCGAGGTCAGGTCGTGTGCAGGTCATCAAGTACATGAGGCAGCCAACAAGCTCTGCAAACGGGCCACTCGACTCTACGGACTCATCCGAAGGCAGAGCTGAGAGTGAGTGGCGAGTAGGCAGAGGAGTGGCCTGAGGCGAGGAGTACGTGAAGCCGAAGCGCTGAAGGACCTGCTGCACCATGTGTGACTGAGTCAGGGTAATGGTGCGGCGTGCTCTATCCCGGGTGATCTGCAAGCCAAGGTAGCTGCGCAGTTCACCCAGGTCAGTGCACGTGTGTCTCTTCTGCAGCTCAGACTTCACGTAGGCGAGTCCAGCAGTGTCAGCTGTGGCAAAGACCAAGTCGTCGACGTACACGAGGATGTAGAACGGCGGCAGAGAGGTGTCGGTGCGCAGAAACAGCGACGGGTCGGCAGTAGAAGGAGCAAACCCAAGTGCCGCGAGCGTAGTCCTCAGTGTGTCGTGCCACTCACGTGGCGCCTGGCGGAGACCGTAGACTGGACGCCGGAGACTCCACTGGGTACCAGGAGGGAAAGACCCAGTGAAGCCAGGTGGGCGGCGCAGCCAGATCTCCTCGTGCAGGCTGCCCTGCAAGAAAGCTGTGCTGAAGTCGAGAGAGTGCAGCTCATAGTCACGGTGAGCAG